TTCCGAGTGAGGTTCTCTGCGCCATATGAATATAGCTCAGCTAGCTACGTTTCTATACACCTCATTGGAACGGGTGTCAGGCGGCCTTTCAGCTCCGCTCTTACTTCTTGCCGTGGCTCAATGCGCGAAATTGATAGGCCTCACTGCCCCTACAGAGTTTATCCTCCAATAGGTATCTACACCTTCCTATTCTATCCATCATACATTCATCGTCTCGCTCGCTACTGTCTATTATACTTGCTCGTTTTGAACTCTTTATATATATATGAGAGTATAATAAGCCTCCTCACTCAATCACGCCTTCATACGAGTGTGTTTATCAACATTAATATAAGCTCTCTCGTGTGCTTAACCGCCTCTCACCGGCTCGCATCGTTATCCCCACGCTTGCGTTGGCTCTTCTCTTCCGTGGTGCGCGCATGAACAGAATTCTGCCCAATCCCTCCCAATTTGGTGGGCAACGTTTATGCTCCCGTGTTCCTTATATCGCGCCCGGTTCAGCGTCCCTCTCTGCTCGTCTTACACGTGCGCGAGTCTCTATTTCTACCTACCTAAGTACGGTGATAACTCTTGCATGCAATGCGGAAATGATAGGTGCCTACTACCCCCCTACAGAGTTGGTATCCCTCTAGGCGTATTTCTATACACTCATGACGCCATACACTGTGAGTCACTCTTGCCGTGCAATGCGGAATTGATAGGCCTCACTGCCCCCCTACAGGTGTTATCCCTCTAGCGTATTCTATAACCTCATTGAACGCCATACACTTGTGAGTAACTTCTTGCCATGCAATGCGGAAATTGATAGGCCTCACTTGCCCCCCTTACAGAGTTATCCCTCTAGCGTATTATATACACCTCATTGAACGCCCAAGTACACTGTGAGTAACTTCTTGCCGTGCAATGCGAATTGATAGGCCTCAACTGCCCCCTACAGAGTTATCCCTCTAGGCGCTTTCTATACACCTCATTGACGCCAAGACTGTGAGTTATTCTTGCGTGCATGCGGAAATTGGATAGGCCTCACTGCCCCCCTACAGAGTATCCCTCTACGCTTATTCTATACACCTCATCTGAACCCATACACTGTGAAGTTAACTTCTTGGCGTGCAATGCGGAACTTGTGATAGGCCTTCACTGCCCCCCTACAGAGTTATCCCTCTAGCGTAATTCTATACACCTCATTGAACGCCCATACACTGTGAGTACTTCTTGCCATGCAATGCGGAAATTTGAAGCCCTCACTGCCCCCCTTACAGAGTTATCCCTCTAGCGTATTCTATACACTCTCAATTGAACGCCATACACTGTGAGTTTACTTTCTTGGCGTGCATGCGGAAATTGATAGGCCTCACTGCCCCCCTACAGAGTTATCCCTCTAGCGTATTCTATATCACCTCATTGACACGCCATACACTGATTAACTTCTTGCCATGCAATGGCGGAAATGATTAGGCCTTCACTACCCCCTACAGAGTTATCCCTCTAGCTATTTCTGATACACCTCAATGAACCTCCATCATGTGGAAAGTAACTTCTTTGCCATTGCAATGTCGAAAACTGATAGGCCTCACTCCCCCTAACAGTTATCCCTCTAGCGTATTCTATACACCTCATTGAACGCCCATACACTGTGAGTCACTTCTTGCCGTGCAATGCGGAAACTGATAGGCCTCACGCCTCCCTACAGAGTTATCCCTCTAGCGTATTCTATATACCTCATTGAACGCCATACACTGAGTTACTTCTTGCCGTGCAATGCGGAAATTGATAGGCCTCACTGCCCCCCTACAAAGTTATCCCTCTAGCGTATTCTATACACCTCATTGAACGCCATACACTGTGAATCACTTCTTGCCGTGCAATGCGGAAATTGATAGGCCTCACTGCCCCCCTACAGAGTTATCCCTCTAGCGTATTCTATACACCTCATTGAACGCCATACACTGTGAGTCACTTCTTGCCGTGCAATGCGGAAATTGATAGGCCTCACTGCCCCCCTACAGAGTTATCCCTCTAGCGTATTCTATACACCTTATTGAACGCCATACACTGTGAGTCACTTCTTGCCGTGCAATGCGGAAATTGATAGGCCTCACTGCCCCCCTACAGAGTTATCCCTCTAGCGTATTCTATATACCTCATTGACTCTGGTCTGGTTATATAGGCGATTTCTATGCTGTTCAAAAGATTAGAAATCATCTTTGTTTGCGATGTGTCTGCTGCTCGTCTGCTATCTAGCAATATAATAAGCTCATAAAACATTAGAAATAACTGGTTGATTATTGATCTGGAATTATTGAAATCTCCTGGATATATTTGGTTAAATTGAGATTTGTGTTGAGGTGCATCCGTAACCCCTTTCTTGCTAGCATCAGAAAATTCCAATCCCATCTTATTGATTTCAAATATGAAAAACTTTAAAGCTGGTGTTTAGGTTTATTTATATCACGTAGTTTGATTAGGCAACTTCTAGAGTTGTGTTTGCCAGATGTTACAACCTTGTATAAAGATATTGAACAAAAAACCAAAGGTTTGTCACAGTTTTGAGACAACGTCCTTTCAGAGTGTAACAATCTTATTGCTTGCTAATCATAAATAGTTCATCATAAAAAACAAGTAATGAAAACACGAGGCTTCATATTCTGTTTGGAAACTCTGTTGCTATGATTTTAAGACTAGCTGGTGGTTTGATATTTCAATTAGGCTTCCTAGTAGATATATGATGGTTGGGATTCGTTCGGATTCGTTCGGCAGGTTGATACTTGCTACAAAAACATAATTGGGAGCTTTCTCTAAAACATACTGAAATAAAGAGTTTTACATTTATGTATCATGTGCAGTGACTCAAAAGGGGATCTTGAGGAGCTATGAAACGATTAAACTATGTTTAGATGATCCAGTAGTTTTCAATTAGTGTTATTTATCAGTAAGTAATGAAAACCGCTGCATAGTTCCTATAGACGACATTTCAAAAATAAGCCCCATCAAAAGATGTATCAAACTTTTTAGATGTCTATTCAAGGATTAAAATTTTTAGATTATGCAATTTCCTTGTGAAAACGAGGCTTTTAGCTCCCCTTAACAGACCAAAATTCACTTCTAAGCATTTATGCGCAAGAAATATGCTTAATCAACTTTAAAATTGTTAGTTATTTCCGTTTAATCTGTCTTCTTATTGATTATCATATACGCAAAAACGAGACTTCAAACACGAAAAGGAGGCCGATGGCCCCCAAAATCCCGGTATAACATCGATTTTCGAAATCAGCACCCTCGATTTGACCAAAAACACTTCGTCCCATAAATTTCGCTCTCGGAAGACCATTTCTCTATTCTCTGCCTGGTCCAGAAGAATTTACCAGCTCATAAAGGTGGCAGCGAATATCCTTTTCTACCCCATGGTTGATGAAAGTTTCGAGAAGATAGGGCATGTTCACTACACTTTTATTAATTTTTATTTGTACACAAATACCTTTCAACTTGAAAAAGATCAATAGACAAATTAATAACAATATTTTTCTAGAAAAATCAAATTGCTGCTCTACCAAGGGGGGTCGTGCTTGGGTCTATCACATTTGAAGGTTTAAAAGATGCTCTCGTAACCCTGCTTTAAAACGTGCTATTGATTTTTTCTTTCAAATTCTGTCAGTGATAGTCTTCCAGTTATTTGCACCAGAGAAGTAGAAAATTGCATATTCGTTCTCATTCTTGGGATTTACAAATTTCTTCAATTCCTTGTACTATAATCTAAAATCAGAGATTTTGGAGTGAAGTTATGAAGAAGGTTGTCGTGACAAATTTTTGTTGGTTGAAGGAGAGTAAAGATTTAACTGTGAGCCAATTGCGAATCCATTCGTCTCTCGTCTGTGCTCGACATTCTCTATTTGCTTTGCTGCTGTTGTTCTCAATCGTTGCAGTTGGGCTAGCTTTGTGTGGGAAAGAGTGCTCCATGCAATAATGCCATAGCGAAGATGGTTTCAAAGTGAATTTTATAGACCTGGTCCCAATTCTTATTTATTTTTGATAGTTTTATACTGCTCTTTCCAATCAATCCTTTTCAATAAACGCAATGAATGCTTTCCAATTAATGTTGATTCTTAAATGTTTTGTCTTGTTAACCCTTTTGATAACTTCATTACTGAAGCAAGACCAGGCAAGCCAACGCCTGTCTTAATAAGCTGTCACTTATGGCCTATAACCAAATATTTATTTTTGTTTGCATTCAAACTAAGTTTTTCTAGTGTTGTTGCGTTATCTTAAGAAATGAATTTTTCCACGTATATTCTATGGCACAAAAGGACTTTTTGGTTTAATATTGTGTCCCGAGTTGATCAATTGTACTTTCCAATAGAAATACTAATCACTTAATACAAGTCACAATACCTCCCCAGCTGAAAGCCGGGAACAGCCTAGCCAAGGCCAATGGCGGACTGGCAGGGATGCTAGGTTGCGATCGCAACCCGGGCCCTCTCAACTTCATAATAACCGGACCCTCCATAGATAAATTCGAGAAAATAACTCTGTTAATTTTAAAGATATATATGTTCATAAAAATACAAGTCACAGAAATGAAGATAAAATCCTTAGAAAGAACACATTTCAGTATTGCTTACCCTTTCAAGTGAGTTTGTAAAACCCAGGAGAAAATCTGATATGAATATAATCTTTGGTGAGAAAATGCCTAACTTACATTTATACTTAGGTTCACAGTTCATAATTAGAGGAGGTAAACATTTACAAACAGGAAACTGTGAAAGAGATGCGTGGAATATGAACAGGGCTTCCGAGTGGGGGACAAGGAGGGGCAAACTGTCCCAGGACCTCGAAATTTTGCTTCGACGAAAGAAGGTAAAAAAGCAAAGAAATTGAAATAAAAGAATTCAATTACAAAGACATCGGCACTCAACAGTGAGAAAAATCAACTGTAAAAATTGTAAAATTGTAAAAACACTTTGTATGCAGTGCCAAAGTAATTAAGCAAAGGAATATGTAATCACCAGGACATGTGTGTTTAGTTGCCAAAAACCAGATAAACTCTTGTTCCATTTGTACATGTAGACCGCAACATCCTCACTTAGGCAAAGTAAATATGTGTAAGAAACAAGATGTCTCTTGTCAAAGGAATAACCATTTGTAAAACATCTGTTTAGGCAAAGGAAACATTTTAGCTCCCCCTTGTCACTAAACATTCCGTTAAGCTATCTCCTTGGATAATGCTGGATTCCAGTTTAAATTGAATGGAATTGAAATTAATTTTTTGAACACTGGGATAAATGGCTGTATACCTTTGTATTCAATGGCAAAAGAAACAACAATAGTAATTTCTTCGACTAGTGTTCGAGGTCTGTGATGATGCTTACAATCAGTACATTCCCCTTATCGAGACAGAGCAAAAAAACAACATAAGGCCTGTCTCGTAATGTTACAAAAACAACAGGATCCCTACAAAGACGCACAAGACCCTCTTGGAGATATGAAGTAGGAGCCTTTACAGATTAAACGTATCAGTGACTGGGGATGAGATCGCAGGGGGGGGGGCAAAGGGGCAAAATGGCGCCCACATATCTTTCAATTTTCCTTCAAAGTATTGGAAATGTGCAGAAAAGTACAAGTGTTCGGAAGCACGCTGATCTATATCTATCTATATGTGGCGTACTGTAAGACCTTCAAGTGAGGGGAGTGCCGGTAGTCAATTACTGACAATTAGATACATTTCAAATAGAGTATTTTATTTTTGTAAAACCTTGTAAAATTAACAGTATTTTGAGTATCGTTGTAGCGGCTGTATCATCAAATTGCACAACAATGATAATCAGGAACGTCACTAATGAGGGAGGTTCGGGGTAGGGAGGGGGCAGTAAGATCGTTCAGGAGTTTAGTGAGGGCGGTCGCCATCGTTGGCGGCAAAATAATGCAAAAAAAAATGTTCTGGGGATGGTCGGAAACTGCATCCGATTATTAACAACATCGCTATAGACTCATGAAGAATCCTGAACAATACCTATAAGCTTTCTCCAAAATATGGCCTCCAGGCCGTTGCGAGGCAGGCATTGTTTGTGTTTACTACGAACTTGCCGGATTGGAAATCATCCTCTGCAATACATTGTGTCGATTCACAGCATTTATTTACATATTATCATCAAATCTTCCAGCCCTTTAAATCTATATATCGGAACAAGCCCAGGATATAACTACACTATCCAAGGCGACACCGCCGCCGAAGAGGAAAAACTTTTGAATTTTGATGCTTCTAGTTTGCTGGAAAATGCACTTTTTGAAGCATTTTTCAATAACACAAGCTTTCTCTTCAATAAATATCCACAGGCTGAAAGCTATTTGGTGGTTTGAATAGATTTTCTGGTGTCGTTTTCTTTAGATTGGGACAAAATCTCTCAGCTTTTTCTTCTTAGCATTTTTTTTCGTTAAAACTCCTTGCACCCTCTAAATATTTGTATGAATGGCGCCTAATCTGAACTTTACCGCCAAGCCAAAAATTTTGACGGGTTCCTCAAAAACATCCCCACACCTCACCTCGGTACGCCCATGGTATCTACTTTGTGCAAAAACCTTTTAGATTTAGCGTGAGATCTTGGGATGGTTTCGAACAATCGTTTTTCAGTGCATCAAAGTTATTAAGAAAAAAGAACTGCTATGCTGTAAGGTGATTTCTTATTCTCTTCGAAGCGATTTATCGTTGATTGTTATACAGTGTCCGCTTTCGCCTTCGGCGTCCCTATAACGTGACAATCCATATCGGTGCCCCGGATATTTGATCGGCAGGGGGGGGGGGCAATTGCCCGCTGAAATGATCGGCAGGGGGGGGGGCAAACACCACTGAAACGTATGCGATTAAAAATGTCAAAGCTTGGGTACTGCCCTTACTTCCATGGTGAAAAAAACAACGTTTGTTGCTTGGAAGGCGATCTCCTAAGATGGCTGGATCAATCCAGAGCACGACATGACTCTCTTGATAAGGTGTATTACACACAAATTGGTTGCCAGGTTACATACGCGGGTATTAACTCCGGTTAAACCGGGCTCCAACCGTCATTGAATTCAAATCAAAATGGGAGCTGTATGCATATGTTTGACAGCTGCTTTGCTGTTTCAACACGCGTACGCACTTTGCAGAAACCAGTATCTAAACGCAACAACAACCTCGCAGTTATTCTCTTACCAATCTTACTCAAACAACGAATACTGTGACATCCAAATCGCGCCGTCTAATTTCCTGAATAGCAGTCAGTTCTTCTTGGAGATTATTTGGACCACCTTCGACATCAAGGGAAAATTGCCTGATTGCAAAGAAGATTATGTAGAGGTAAATCTAACCAGGTAAATATCTTGAGTATCTACAGTGAAGAAATACAAACTTTTCATAAATTTTATATCTGTTATTTATACTGAACTATTCTTGGCGTTCATTTATCACATGGTCAAAGCATGATGATAATACATTTCAAGTACTGACTGATAGACTCAGAGCTAGAGATGAAATTTTATTCGCGTCAGAAGATACTGCGAATGCGTATATTCACACTAAGGAGCACTTTCTACATATCAGACATTGGCAATGAGAGAAGAAAAATATGAATTTGAGGAAATTGAAGACGTCAATCAGCCGCCAGCTGGAAGAGAAGTGATAGCAGCTTTGCCAATCTCTTGGTACCAAATTATAGTCTGGTTCCCCTAAAATCGTAAGAGTCGGGAACGAGTCGCTGATACCTTCTTCTATCTTTCATAACGATTAAAGGAAAACTGTTTCCATAAAACCGTAAGAGTCGGGAACGTGTCGCCGATCACATCTTCCATATGACAACAAAACAACAGCAAGCAAAAACGTGCCGAATCATTTCCCTTTGATTGGTTAATTACATCCAACTGATTGTTTCTTAACAATAGTGGATCGGCGACGTCGGCGACCCGTGTTCGCATTAAAATTTTCTTTGATCGTAAGAGTCGTAAGAGTCGGGAAAGCTGAACCATCAACTCTCCAGACCCTTAAGCCGAAAACCCACTCCGGAAAATGATCAGCGGATCGGATGTTCGTGTTGTTCTTTCGATCCGCGGATCCTTTCAGATTGGAATGCGCGTTGACATTATCTCCATTTTTTTTCATTTTAAAATTATTTATGCACGGTAGCCCCGTCAGTCATGACTGATTTTCAGGGGGCCGTGCCAAAAACTTTACAAATTAAAAAATCTACTAAAATTAATAACTGAAAAAGGAAAATAATTACAATCATAAATAATTTATCTACAACTATTTACAATAAATTTATAAAAAACCCTTTATCTTTTTCTTAAAAGAAGATAAAGAGGGAGTTTGCTTGGCCTCGCGGCTGAGATCATTCCAGATTTTTGCTCCACGAAATGCGAACGCTTTCTGTCCATTACTAGTTTTCATGAATGGCACTAGCAAGTCAGTTTCGGCATTTCTAAGGTTGATACAATTGCGTTCAGAATTTCTAACAAATAAATGCGAGAGATAATCAGGCGCGAGACTATTAACAGATTTATATACAGTTGTTGCAGTCTCACTTCTGATCATATCCCTCACATTTGTCCATTTTAACTCTGTAATCAAAGCTTCAGCAGGAGCATCGTAGCTGCAATTTGTAATAATTCTAGCGGCTCGATTCTGCAATTTTTGAAGCTTAACCAGTCGGAACTCTGCACAGCTCTCCCACACAGAACAGCAGTACCGAAAATGCGGCTCTACAATACCTCTATATAATTTGCAAAGTACATTTTTTGGCAAAAATTTCTTTGCATATTTTAAAAAACCTAACGAGCGGGAGACTTTGGCTTGAACAGATTTAATTTGCTCGTCCCACACGAGGTATTGGTCAACTTGGACACCAAGATACTTAATACTGTCGACGAGTTCTACAGGGGAATCATCGATAACGAATGCAGGTGATCCCACAGTGTTTTCACCAATCTTTTTCAGATTTGGTCTAGATCCGATTACCATTGCCTGAGTCTTGGTTACATTCAAAGACAATTTATTGCCCTGAAGCCATTCTTTCAAACATTTCAATTCGTTGTTGAGCGTTTCAGTTAGATCCTCAATGCTCTTAGAGGAATAGGATATGCTAGTATCGTCGGCGTACATCGTAACTTTGCAGTTTTTCAAGGCGAATGGCAGACCATTTATATAGAATAGGAAGAGTAGTGAACCTAAACAAGAACCTTGTGGAACACCACAGTTGATGCTTCCGATGTCAGATTCCACTCCATTAACCTTAGTGAATTGCTGCCTACTGCTAAGATATGATTTGAACCATTGAAGCTCAAAACCCTGAATTCCGTACTTAGATAGCTTTTGAATAAGTATGGCATGATCAACAGTATCAAAAGCCTTTTTCAAATCAATGAAAATATTTCCTGTAAATTTTCCACGCTCAATATTAATGTGCCAGTCATTAGTGCCAGAAAGCAAGCAAGTTACAGTGGAATACAGAGCTCTAAAACCTGATTGGCCAGAATACAGAAGTTTATTTTTGTCTAGATAATCATATAATTGCTTGTAAATCAATTTCTCATAGAGTCTTGCCAGAAATGGGAGCACAGAAATCGGTCTATAATTGGAACGATTGTATTTTTCTCCACTTTTAAAGATTGGGGCAACACTTGCAGTTTTCCAATTTTCAGGAAAAACTCCAGTGGCAATTGAGAGGTCCACGGATTCTTGCCTCGTGACGCAAGTGCTCTATTGTTCAAAAAGTTCTAATTCAATTTTGATCAAAAGAAAACTACTGTATCGGAACGGTAAAAAAAGTTGAAATGATTCCAACTATTTTTTCGATCCGTTTCGATCCGTCACGGATCAGTCATGTCACCATTTTTGCATCCAACGCGCATGCGCAACACAAAATCTACTCCGATCCGTGGATCATTTTCCGGAGTGGGTTTTCGGCTTTATGATTCACATTTGGCGTAGTCGTAACGATCGGAAGAAAGTGTTCCATAAAATCGGGAGACTAACGCAGACTGACGCAGACTGTCGCCGACGGTCTTACGATTTTTGGGAACCAGGCTTATAAGAGGAACATAAAGGTTTTCATTTTCGATGGTTTAACATTAAGAATATTTTACTCCAGCTTTTTCAATCATGTTGGTAGCGCTCGGGGTCAAATAGGGAACGGGGTCAAATAGGGAAATCGGGGTCATATAGGGAAATCGTTAATAACTCCAAAAATTGGACAGATATCTAAAAACAAACCTCAGAATCGGATTCGGCATGCCTCAATCTACCATTTAGATGCTTATTTAATTAAACTACGGCAATTTTAACAAAATAAATGATAATGTTTTTCTTCTACGTTAGCTTGATGCGTGTCTCCTCCGTAGTGACAGGAGCAAATAGGCAAAACACGTTGAAAAGCATCGATTTAACTAAAAATAAATAGCAAAAGGTAGAAATATCAATATAAAATACACATTCTCTTCATATTCATCCAAATTTCACACATCCTGCAACGAGGGTTACTAGTTTTCTCTAAATAAATCAGCTGAGTGATCGACGCGCTCGGGGTCAAATAGGGAAATCGACATTTGGGGTCAAATAGGGAAATGACTAAAAACTGCAAGAAACAAGCACGAAAAAGAAAACTAACCTCATTCCAAGGCAATGAGTAATTAAATCTGCTCTTTCTATCCGTTTGTCTGCTAGAAATCAAGCTATATCGATAGATAGATACAATTCAGACAACGTTCGACACGCACTTAGGCCCTTGTTTACAGATTGATCTCCTCCACAGTTTCGGGGTCAAATAGGGAAACAGCTGCCTACAGCAATAGAAAAAGGTCTGTTTCTGTGTAAAATAAGGAAAAATTCGGTTTAAACTTTTCAGAATCCCTTTCTTGTTTATTTGCTTCCGAAGTCATTATTACAGCAAAAGCTTTAGTATTTTTCAAATGTTTGCTTTTCCAAAGCCATTTTAAAATAAATAGTCTAACATCTCTACATGACATGATAACAACTCTTAAAGGCTGATACATAATTAGATTTTCAAATGTGAAATATCTAGGTGATTACGCTTCATTTTGTACTTCCTTTCAAAAATTTGGTAAATATGTTTTGCAGCTTTCATGATTATTATGTTTCATCTCAATTTCTAGTAAAAGTTGTACGGCCTATGATTTTAACCCTTTTCTTTGATTCTTGCTGCCTAACTGCTGCTAAAAAAACAAACTCCTTTTTTCCTGGTGTATTCAGAGGCGTCACTTGAGTGGGGTAGGATGGGGTTGTTCACCTTTTCGCAGGGCAAAACTGATTTTTGCAGGGCAAATGTTCTCTACCAACGGATCTGTTTTGTTGCTTTTCTTATGCAACTGTAACAAGAAAGTAGGTTATGCTTGTCATTTGTCTACTCCAAAAGTAAAATGATACAGACTACCAGTGACACGAAGTAGAAATTGCCAGTTTGATCTTGGGCTAGATGGAATAGATTTCTAAATTGATTCTGATTTCCTTTTACCTTAAGTGTTAAACCCCTTTGTTTATGTTTGTGTCTTACACCCCTTGGTTTATTTGTGTGTCTTGTTTAAAATCCCTACTAAAAAGACCAGCACCGCTTGCCAGAAAACTAAGACACTGTAAACGGGGCTATATGGGTTAAAATTTGATGGAATAGTTATGCATATTTGGGTCTAGGTTTGCTTTCACTGTAATCAGAAGCGCGACTTTAAGAACGGCGTAGAGTAAATACGGCTTTTTCATCTATTTTTTGCAGACGATATAGGGTGTATTGAATAAATTCCAGTAGGTTTTCAAGCTTGTGTTTGCCATATGAAGATTATGTCATCGATAAATCTTCTCAAAACATTCCACTACGCCCCATCGGGGCATTGCTCAAGATATGTTGTTCTATTGTTGTCATGAATATGTTGACAAAATTTGGGGCAAAGGGCTTCCCCATTGCGGTGCCTTAAGGGAGGTTAATAAAATTTACCATTACACTCTTCTTTATAAGAGCCAGTAAATTGCAGTTCAGGCTTGTTGTTCTTAATTTTTTCGAAAATCTGACGCTGAATTGTTCTTGGTTTGTTCTTAAATTTATAGGGTATAAGCAGTGCGATTTCTAGCTTTTCGCTCTAGGGAGGTGTCCAGGCCTCATTTGCCAAAAAAGTGCGTGAGAAAACAGATTTTGGCTGCTATGTTTAAATATTCACCGAAGAAGCATCCAAATATGGCAAAAAACACCTAGTTTTTCAGATGAAACATTGTTCAAAGTTACATTTTACAGTAACTCAGCCTCAGCTTGTTCTTAATTTGATCTCAACTTTTGACCAATTTTGAAGCTCATTTTTTTATAAAATTGTTCTTATAAAAAGAGAGTGTAAAGGCAACATAATTATGTTTGAGAATAAAAATCACCATCTGTTGTATTCGATATGCAGCTGCAGTGGCTTGGTGGCAGGGGGGCATGGGACCACGGCCCCCTTGACTAGGGGAGCAGTTGGAGACGTATGCCAAAAATGTCTTCTATTACTTTGCACTCGGAACGCCAAAAAACCTGAGTGTAAGCTAAAGATCTTCTGGCCTGAGTACATTAAATGCACCCTGGCAATCAATACAGAAGCTTCTTGTTATTAACATCAATGTGAACCAAAGGTCTCTTTATCTAACGCATGAATCCTCCCCTCCAAAAATTTTTTGAAAAAAATCGATCGAAATGTCTATTTTGAGAAGTGTAGTAATTTGTGAAATTTTAGTCTGGGAGATGCATTTTTAGCGATTCTAGAAGGCTTTATTTCAAAAATTTCCTTTCTTGTCCGACCCAACCATGGTGGGTCCTCCTTTGTCACTAAACTTACTTCTTAGCTCAACCCCAGATTCGATTTCGTGGCACCGCCTCTGTCCGATTGAATAGTGCGATTCAATGCTTGAAACTTACAAGTTGTTGAAAGAACTACTATTTAGTAACTACTAAAGAACAAGCCATATTTGTATATCATACATTCGATAAATACAATGAGACTAAGCTGATACTAACTAAGGATAAATATAAAACTAAGGGCTTAATAGTAGAGACGGGCCCACAGCACCACCTCTAAAATATAAGGAGTGGATGTTGGTAAATCTTTTAATTAAAATGCAAAGAAATTAATAGAATGGTGACACTGATTACTTGATGATGGATAGATTGTAAGATATGAAGATAGACAAACATAACAAGAGGAATTATGACAATTATAAAATAACAACAAGAGGAGTCATTGACAAGTGAAAATTGCGTGTTCTGCTCATGACAGATTTGTAAAATTTAATGGAAAGGGGTGTTAATAAGCGAAATGAGGGGGGGATGTAAATTCTTCTGAAATTTATACACCGGGGACCCGTCTATTAGAGACAATAGAGCAACAAAATGAAGAAAATATTTCCCCAATAATCGTACAATTCTTGGCTACTTTTTATGTACATTTGGTAACTTGAGATGAAGAAGAACCAAAAATTTTTTATCTAAGGCACTCCGTGTTTAATTTTTTTGTAAAAATGAAACTGATGAAAAATAAGCAATACAATTATTTCTTTAAGGGGGGTTGGATTGAATCTCTCAACGCCAAATAAACACACCAACGTCCAAGGTTGTCTCAATCATTGAATTGTTTGCAATTATCCGCAACCGTGAAATGTTTCACCAATATTTAGCCTCCCCCTAAATTTATTTCAAAATTTGGTTTGAAAACAATAACAAGACAAATGGCACAAATGTCAGAAGACAGGGCTCCTAACAATTATTGGCTTTAGGCAGCTGTTTCCCTATTTGACCCCGAAACTGTGGAGGAGATCAATCTGTAAACAAAGGCCTAAGTGCGTGTCGAACGTTGTCTGAATTGTATCTATCTATCGATATAGCTTGATATCTAGCAGACAAACGGATAGAAAGAGCAGATTTAATTACTCATTGCCTTGGAATGAGGTTAGTTTTCTTTTTCGTGCTTGTTTCTTGCAGTTTTTAGTCATTTCCCTATTTGACCCCAAATGTCGATTTCCCTATTTGACCCCGAGCGCGTCGATCACTCAGCTGATTTATTTAGAGAAAACTTGTAGTAGCGCTCGGGGTCAAATAGGGAACGGGGTCAAATAGGGAAACGTATCAAAACACACTAGACACGCATCAAGCTAACGTAGAAGAAAAACATTATCATTTAATCTGTTAAAATTGCCGTAGTTTAATTAAATAAGCATCTAAAAGGTAGATTGAGGCATACCGAATCTGATTCTGAGGTTTGTTTTGAGATATCAGTCCAATATTTGGAGTTATTAACGATTTCCCTATATGACCCCGATTTCCCTATTTGACCCCGTTCCCTATTTGACCCCGAGCGCTACCAACGCTGCTCAGCTTTTTACGAACTTCGTAGACACGTAGGGTTCTCGTCATTTAATTCTACGTGTAAGATACGCCCACAAGGGCTTAAAGAAAATACGAGAGATATATTTATCTAATAATTAAAGAAGACTGTATATATATTCAAAGGCAAAGAGAATCTTATAATCTAACAAAACTAACAAACGAAATAAGCAACGAATAATTAATGTAAGCGTCCAAGAATGTAAGAGATCCTTTATTCCGAATTTCTTCGAATATATCAAGATTCTATTAATAAACGGAAAGATTTCACCTTGTTTATGTCCTTGTACGGGAAACCATTATCTTGCCAGTTCCTCGAGAGTTTCTTGAGTTTCAAGAGCGATTTCTTAGAGTTTCTTCGATAAGAGCGATAGTTCTTCGAGAGTTTCAAGAACGATATCTTCGAAAGTCGATTTCGAACGCGAGAGTTCATTCCTTTCTTACTAGGTGTTGACACCTTCCACCTTCCACAACAAATAAAAAAGCCCAGCAGAAAACAAAAGACACTTCAAAAAATAAACAAAAGAAACAAAACGAGGTTGGGGGACATTTCCGCACAAGCTTGGTTTTTTGGAGTAAAATGTGCACCAAAGTTGGAGAGAGTCTTAACAAGCCCACCGAAAATGCCTATATCTGTTCTCTCCCGGTTTAACAAATTCCCGATATAACGAACTATTTTCTGGTTCTCTTCAGAGTTCGTTATATCGGGATTCCACTTTATCTAATGAATTCAATGACCTATCTTGTAGTTAAATAAACTCTTTTTTATAAGAACCAGTAAATTTAAGTTTAGGCTGACTGTTCTTAATTTTTTCAAAAATATGAGGCTGGACTGTTTTTAATTTGGTCTTAAATTAAGAGGGTGTAAGCAGTGCTATTGCTAGCATTTTCGCTCTAAGGAGGTGCTCAGGCCTCATTTGCCAACAAAGGGAATGAGACACCCTTTATTTGCTGACAAATTTGAATATTCATGGATAATGCACCCACACATCGCTAAAAATCCTCGATTTTGAGAAAAACGTTCAAAATTGCATTTGGCAGAAGCTCAGCCTCAGCTTGTTTTTAATTTGTTTTTAACTTTTGTCCAGTTTTGAGGCTCGTGTTCTTATAAAATTATTCTTTTAAAAAAAAGAGTGTACTCTTAATGTGGTAATCTTGCTATTTAAAGATTGACAGATATAAATAGTTGCATAACAGTTGCTAGTATGTTTTTGAAAGAGAAGGTTGTTGTTGAAGTGAATTGTTTCAACTTTGCTACACCGTTTGGATATTCTATTTAAACATTCAGTCTTTACAGCTTTGAGTTAATTGCTGATATAATGATGATTTTTGCTTTAGATCAGGCTACAGCATTGGAAAGTTTTGTTCAAATAACACCCTTGAAAAACTTTTTAACATGTATTCACATGATGGCTTTGCAAATCTGACGTTCAAAAGCAACAATGAGACGACCGGAGATGGATTCTCTTTCAAATACAGACTTAGGAATAAAACAGCTGATCCTTTGGTTGGAAATTCATCATCATGCAGGTAAGTGACAAAATTTGATCACTTCATAATGTCTTGGTAGCATTATTGCAATAACCATCATGATTTACCTGTAGACATACAATCACTGCCAAAAGTCTTGGAACACTAACGTAGGTTTTCGAAGGCAAATTCAGCCATCCCTTTCTCCCCCTAGGAACAATGTTGATTTACTATAGAAAAAAGAAAGGGGTTATGGAGTACGCTTTTTCTTGTGGATTGTTTGATATTTTTCTATACTTTCAACATTGTTTTGGGGGAAAGGGGGCGGAAGTGGTAGTATTCAAGAAAACAAATGAAAAATAGAAAATCACAGCGCAAAGTGTTAGGTGTTCCAAGTAATTTTGACCGTGATTGTAGACGCTGGGAGTATATCAGTATCAGATATTTTCATATATCAAAATGCTAACAGTCTCATGCTGTTAGACACAGACGAGTGATGTGACGAGCAAGAGCTCACACACGACTGAACTGTAGCTTGTTTACGGCATACCGTAAAAAACCAGACCCTACGACTCACCGTAAATTATTTTTTAAAATCCAATGGCAGAGGTTTTCAGGATATATTTTTTAATATAAAGATTTGTGCAAAGTTTGCAGGAAAACATCAATTCCGTGGCAACCACTCTCAAAGGGAACAAAAGAAGAGGTAACTAGAAGAAGCCCAAAAGGCTGACGTAAACGTTCTTGTCGCTGTCTGACTGACTTCATGACAGACTCATTTGAAGACAGGAGCTGATGCGGAGAATATGCGGAACAACGCCGTAGTAGGAACGAATGCGCGTTTGACAGTGGATGTGTCCCCATGATGCGATGGTGTCAGTCAACTGTGATAAACTATTCTCCGGTGACAGTCATCGAGATGAAGACCCTTCTGGTGTTTAGGGTCCTTTTTGATTTGAGTACTTTAGGGTCCTAGGTCTGAGGGTCTTAGGGTCTGGTTTTTACGGTATGCTCCTGTTTAGTCGTGAACTGATTAGATTACAATAGAGACTACAAAGGGACTACATACAAATAACAGCGTGACAATAGAAAATACAAAGGTCAACACTAAACAATGGTATACACAAATACTATATAACGACATTACACTAGCATGCAATGAATCTAGATCATTTTTGTATTAGTAAGATTTGGTTAGCGTATTTACTTTATTAACAAGATATCGCAGCTTTCTGGAAGAGTCTTTGGTATAGAAAGGGTCTTTCTATATCAAAATGCGCTCACTATGAAAGAATGGTTTTTTTATGACAAAAGAAAAACTTTTTCTTACATCGGGGGCACCATTTCATAATAAAGAGCAGTTTCAAGTGCTAGAGCAATTGGAGGATAAGAACCCCCCGTTTTAGCTCTTTTTGTGGTTGTGCCCCTTTCCCAAAGATTCTATTCAACAGATTGTCTGGAAGGATAGACACTTAATATAGAAATGAGATTTGCAGACAAGTTTGACAGAAAACAATCCCAATAAACATAGCAAAATACCTCATTTTTGTCTTGAAATCTGGAACATATACCTTTTCAACTAATCATTTGAAGATCGTACAAAATTTGTTCAAAGCAATATATGAGACGTAGTTTATTGACCTCATAGTGAACAAAATATGTTTTACAACGATTTTCTAAAATGCTCATTTGTCGCCGAGAAACCTAGTAGTATTTAAAACATTCTAGACATTTGCCTACGTGATACATAATTACCACTGATCTAAAAAAAACTGGATCGCGCATCTATTGTTCTAAAAGTGCGGCCGCTGAGAAATCGCAGCGGCCATGCTCTTGTGACCACTTTTGCAGACTTGTGGTCTTGTTTACTACGAGGAAATGCCGGTTCGGACAAGTAAAGTCGAAGTTTCTGCCGTCAAATAGTGGCAAAGGTGGGTAAATCTAAATATATATGAGCGTAAAGGACTATCAAATTATTAAATGTTCCATTTTATGGAGGGTAAGGCATTTTGGTTCTCTATTTCTTGTTGCTTTACGGATAGCCTACACTTTTAGGCCTATTATTAGTAGGTGGATTGAAACTCGAAAACAGAAATCAAACTAAGGTAAATCTAAATAAACATTTTTCTTTCGTTGTTGGCACTCAAAAACAGTAATTAGACTGTTTCCTATAATCAAGTCTCCACGGAGAGTCCAACGATGCAAATATATTTATTCGAATCAGCAGGCAAGTGACTATATGACTAGCTACCTTTTACTTATTTGATCAAATTAGAGCCGTAAATTGCCATGAAAAAGCCACGTAGCAGCGATAATTACATAGAATATAAGTAGCTTTCATATGTAGAAGTTAATTTTAGTTGTTTCTCTGATAGGATATAACCCCCAAAAACATCTTGGGAGCTTCTAAGCAACCCCAGTGTAGTACTGAGTTTCTTGTAGATAGAAAATATGTTTAATTTGTGTAGCTGCTTTTTCCAAACAAGTCTAGCCGTGATTTCAAACCTCTAACTTTTTGTGCCCCTCTACATTGTTTAAGCAATACATTTTACATTGAAATGATGTGATATGAAACATGCTTACATTCAAGTGAATCACCGCTTGTACTATGTTTGTGACTTATGTGACTTAGGACTAATTGAAGAGTGATATCATATTCCTCTGAAAAAATAAGCCTTAAAGAATATGCCTGGTTGTACTTTTGAATCAAAATTTTAATATTACCTCTGACAAAGCATTTCTTTATTTTGCAGAATAAAGTGCAATGAAATGG